ATTTTATTGTTACCACTGACAGTGTGTGATTGACCTTACTCTTTACTACATACCTGAAAGAAGTTTAAAATGATTCGATTGATGGCACTAATGCATGGTGCGACAGTATCAAAACGAGTGAGAGACCTGCAACTCTCAGTGATGAATGCATGAACTGTTTTGATGAATTGTCAAAGTCAGATGAGAAATGCTAATTTGTGTGAGAGACTGTGTTACTGTTTTGAGAACTGCATTAAGAGTGGTGAGAATGGTGTTTCTAATGGGGAAATTGCATGAAAGCGACTGAGAAAAACTGTACTTAGGGACACAGTGACAAAGCATTTCAATAGGGTCATGATGACCCAGTATTTCATTATGGACACAGTGTTTCATCAGGGACATGAAGACTCAGCATTTCATCTGGGACATGGTCACTCAGAATTTAGTCAGCGTCAGTGACTCACCATTTCATGAAAGACACAGTGACACAGCATTTTATCAGGGACACCGGGACTTAGATGCGATACATTACGATAGATAGATAGATACGATACATTACGATAGATAGATAGATACGATACATTACGATAGATAGACAGATACGATACATTACGATAGATAGATAGATAGATAGATAGATAGATAGATTGATACTCCCAGCACACATATAGGAACAAAATGGAAAAAGAATGACATTTGTGTGCCGCATCATTTATTTCCAGATATGTTACATTACACAATGTAAAAAACAAATCTGTAGACCAATAGTACTTATCAGAGCTTGTTCTGTCTAAACCTGACACAGTTTATCTATAATAGCACATACTTGCATGTTACAATACCAGCATGCATGAACGACTACCGTCCCGTAGCACTCACACCTATAATCATGAAATGCTTCGAGAGGCTCGTCATGAAGCATGTTAAATCCCTGCTACCACCTACTCTGGATCCTCTACAGTTCGCCTATCGTCCCAGCCGCTCCACGGACGATGCCATCGCAACCACCATTCACCTGGCACTCACCCACCTGGACAAAAAGGACACGTGTTCGAATGCTGTTCATAGACTTCAGTTCAGCATTCAACACAGTCATTCCTCAGCACCTGACAGAAAAGCTAAGCCTGTTGGGCCTGAACACCTCCCTCTGTAACTGGAACCTGGACTTCCTGACTGATAGACCTCAAACAGTCCGGTTCGGGAACAGCATCTCCAGCACCACCACACTGAGCACTGGGGCCCCTCAGAGCTGTGTGCTCAGCCTGCTGCTGTTCACTCTGCTGACTCACGACTGTGCAGCAATGTACAGTTCAAACCACATCATCAAGTTCGCCGATGACACGACCGTGGTGGGTCTCATCAGCAAGAACGACGAGTCAGCATACAGGGAGGAAATGAAACAGCTAACGGACTGGTGCAAAGTCAACCACCTGTCTCTGAATGTGGACAAAACAAAAGAGATGACTGTTGACTTCAGGAGACCACGGAGCGTCCACTCACCGCTGAACATCGACGGATCCTCTGTGGAGATCGTCAAGAGCATCAAATTCCTCTGTGTTCACCTGGCGGAGAACCTCTCCTGGTCCCTCAACACCAGCTCCATAGCCAAGAAAGCCCAACAGCATCTCTACTTTCTGCGGGGGCTGAGGAAAGCCCATCTGCCACCACCCATCCTCACCACTTTCTACAAGGGGACCATCCTGAGCAGCTGTATCACTGTGTGGTATGGGAACTGCACTGTAACAGACCGCAAGACCATACAACGGATAGTGAGAACGGCTGAGAAGATCATTGGCGTCTCTCTCCCCTCCATAACTGACATTCATCAAACACCCTGCATCCGCAAAGCCACCAGCATTGTGGATGACCCCACGCACCCCTCACACAAACTCTTCACCCTCCTGCCATCTGGTAAGAGGTACCGAAGCATTCGGGCCCTCACTACCAGACTCTGCAATAGCTTCTTCCCACAAGCCATCAGGCTTCTAAACACACAGTGACTGGACTGAGACACACACACACACGCACACACTGTTGCACTTGTCTCGTGTTTGTTTACCTGCTGTCTTTGCACATGTCTGCACACGTGCACTTTACCTCCCCAATCCTTTTAGGTAGCACTTTACATACGTGCAATTTATGTTTTTTGTACTGTCCTAGTCCATTTATGTAGCACCATGGTCCCGGGAACGTTATTTCATTTCACTTTGTAATGCACCACGTATATTGGTGAAATGACAATAAAAGCAACCTTGAACCTTGAACCTACACTTGATACCACATAACAGCTTCAAATTTTTCCGGTAAAACTGCTTCATCTAGAGAAAAAAAGCAAACAGACAAGCATCTAAACAGACAGAGAAATTCATTCTCAATAGAACTGCTCTTATACATTTCTACCTAATATCTATCTATAAAATCAAATAGTAGTAATATAGCTTGTTTGGGGAAAATCAATGTCAATAACAGTTAGGAATGAATATTGTATGTATATAGTACCTTTCAAGTCACCCGAAGTGCTTTACAGAAGCAATGGGGAGTCACTTCAACCACCACCACTGTGTAGCACCTACAGGGATGATGTTACAGCAGTCATTCTGCACCAGTACACTCACCACACAGAAGCTAAAGTGGTGAAGGGGCAGGGGAGAATTCACCAGTTAGATACAGGGGATGATTAGGAGGCCAAATTTGACAGGGTCATATTGAACAATTTTTTTTAGCCATGTGACCTCAGAGAATCAGGAACTCAGTTTTACATTCCATCCAAAGAACTCATCATTTTTACAGCATTTTGTCCCCATCACTGCACTGGGATCCACACAGACCACAGGTTGAGCTAATTTGTTGGCCACACTAACACCTCTTCAGCAGCAACCTAGCTTTCCTAGTGGGTCTCCCATCCAAGTACTGACCAGACTCTAACCAGCTTAGCTTCAAGTGGATTATCTAGTCTGAACTGTATGTCTGTATAGCTTGTCTAATGGATTAGTTCATTTATACACTCAAACTCCAGTGTTTGCCCAGTCTGCTCTTCTCAGTCTGGCCTCAGTCCAAAACCACATCTACTGCAGCCTGAGAAGCAGGAAGTTCCTCCCACTCTCACACACAGACGACTGTCAGAGAAAACGAAACTGAATCCTATCAGTGTTCATGGTAAAATGGCAGAAGCCAGTTTCGCACTGGATCTGAACCAGTTCAGCTGTCCAATATGTCTGGATCTACTGAAGGATCCAGTGACTACAAACTGTGGACACAGTTACTGTATGAGCTGCATTAAGAGCTGCTGGGATAAGGAGGATCATCCTGGAGTTTACAGCTGCCCCCAGTGCAGACAGACCTTCACACCCAAACCTGTTCTGGGCAGAAACACCATACTGGCTGAAGTGGTGGAGAAACTGAAGAAGACTGGACTACAAGCAGCTACTCCTGCTGACAATTATGCTGGACCTGGAGATGTGGAGTGTGATTTCTGTACTGGGAGAAAACGCAAAGCTGCCAAGTCCTGCCTGGGGTGTCTGGCCTCTTACTGCAAAACTCACCTCCAGCCTCACTATGAGTCTCCAGCTTTTAAGAAGCACAAGCTGACTGATGCCACTGGACATCTGCAGGACAAGGTCTGTTCTCACCATGATAGACCGCTGGAGGTCTACTGCCGTACCGACCAGCAGTGCATCTGTTATCCCTGTATGATGGATGAACACAGAGGCCATGATACAGTCTCAGCTGCTGCAAGAAGGACGGAGATACAGGTCAGGCCAGAAGTACTCATATAAATTATAACACTCAACATCAATGGATTTTGCCTTAACACGTGTTAGTATAATTGCTACAAAACACTCAAAACATGTCTGGTTTGGTAAAATGAAAGAAAAAATTACTGAAAGTGCAAGTTTAAAAAGTTCTGATTGAATTCGTACTGAAACATCAAATCATATGGCTGCAGCTGAATATATACAGCAAGCAAAAAGGGTGCAGAGGTTCACTTACTGTTTGGCTGAGCATCTGAATGGCTGAGATGTGTGAGCTAAGAGGGTTTAAATATGGTGTGATCATGCATACAGTGGCTAACAATTAACTGGGCTGGAACTAGGGTCCATTTCAGAAAGCAGGATGTCTTGCTCAGCCAGATGTATTTAATGTACTCTGGGCTAAATACAAGTGAATGAAGAAAAAGGCCATTTAAACTGGGACACATTAAATACAACAAGTTATCTGGCTAAGCAAGAAATTTTGCTTTTTTAAACCAGTCCCTGGTTTTGCTAAATGGCTTTCCGACTTGCTGCACTGGAACGTGTTTAACTCGTCTGTGACGTCATTCCCAGCTCAGAGTTCCGACCTCCGAGGTAAATGGAGCTCAGCATAAGAGTAGCGGCTCCATCATCTCAGAAACAGCCACCGTCCTGGGATTTTAATTTCACACACTCCAGTGTGTAGAGTTTCCTGAGAATGGTGCAGTAAACATGAAACAGCCAGAGTGTGATAGTTCTGGGGCAGCCTGTGGCTGAGTGGGCTAAGCCTCTCTGCCTATGATCAGAAGATTGCCAGTTCAAGCCTGGCCTTGGTACATATGGGGGTCCCTGAGCAAGGCCCTTAACCCCCAGCTCCCTGGGTGCTGCTATGGGTGGCTGCCCTTTGCAGCCAGTTTACTCTCACCTACAGAGAGCAAGGTGGGGGGGGGGGTGTTAAGAGAATTTCCCCACAGGGATCAGTGAAGGTATCAATTATTGTTATTATTGAAACACCTTGTTAATTAGAGAGGTCCGATGAGAATGACCAGCCCTGTTTAAGCTGACAGGAAACCCACAAACACAAAACTATGAGCTCAGTACAACAGTGGTGAGTCAAAGACTCTGTTCACACCTGGTATTAACAAGAGTCTCCACACGCATCTCGACTGACCGTTTGTAATTGGATCTCACTTTCCGCAGTAATTAAAATAAGCACGTAAATAACTTCCATATGCAGAATCTGCCGAACATTAAAAGAAGGACAAGAAGGAATCAGAAGCTATTAGCACATTTTAGGGTATCAAAAACGACTAAGATGTTTGTACGGAACGCCGTGATACTCAAATAAAATAAATAAATATGTCTAAAGCTAAATAAAATAAGAAATAAATATTTCAACGATTAATGGATATGGTCCCAGCTAATGAAACAAACTTGTTTTGTCATCTTGTTTCCTATTTGTAGAAACAAATGGGTGAAACTCAGAGGGAATTTCAGCAGAGAATTCAGATGAGAGAGAAGGAGCTGCAGGAGCTGAGAGAGGCTGTGGGCTCATTCACAGTGAGTATATGAATCTGAAGAGAAGATAACAGCTGGCTTGTATGAA